GTTAGCAGCAGTATGTTTACATCTGTACATTAGCAGCAGTATGTTTACATCTGTACATGTTAGCAGCAGTATGTTTATATCTGTACATTAGCAGCAGTATGTTTATATCTGTACATGTTAGCAGCAGTATGTTTACATCTGTACATTAGGAGCAGTATGTTTATATCTGTACATGTTAGCAGCAGTATGTTTACATCTGTATATGTTAGCAGCAGTATGTTTACATCTGTACATGTTAGCAGCAGTATGTTTACATCTGTATATGTTAGCAGCAGTATGTTTACATCTGTACATGTTAGCAGCAGTATGTTTACATCTGTACATGTTAGCAGCAGTATGTTTACATCTGTACATGTTAGCAGCAGTATGTTTACATCTGTACATGTTAGCAGCAGTATGTTTACATCTGTACATTAGCAGCAGTATGTTTACATCTGTACATGTTAGCAGCAGTATGTTTATATCTGTACATTAGCAGCAGTATGTTTATATCTGTACATGTTAGCAGCAGTATGTTTACATCTGTACATGTTAGTATGTTTACATCTGTACATGTTAGCAGCAGTATGTTTACATCTGTACATGTCAGCAGCAGTATGTTTACATCTGTACATGTTAGCAGCAGTATGTTTGCATCTGTACATTAGCAGCAGTATGTTTGCATCTGTACATTAGCAGCAGTATGTTTACATCTGTACATTAGCAGCAGTATGTTTACATCTGTACATAGCAGCAGTATGTTTACATCTGTACATAGCAGCAGTATGTTTGCATCTGTACATGTTAGCAGCAGTATGTTTACATCTGTACATTAGCAGCAGTATGTTTACATCTGTACACAGCAGCAGTATGTTTACATCTGTACATGTTAGCAGCAGTATGTTTACATCTGTACATGTTAGCAGCAGTATGTTTACATCTGTACATGTTAGCAGCAGTATGTTTACATCTGTACATGTTAGCAGCAGTATGTTTACATCTGTACATGTTAGCAGCAGTATGGAGCATGAGGTTCTGAGACACAGGGACTCAGTAAAGTGACAGTGACATGTGGTCATTGCAAATTCTGATATAAGTTAAGAATATTGCAAAGATGCATGACACATGGGATCAAGTTGGCAGTGTTCATTAGTACTTATTGTTTGTTGTACAGTCTGACAGCAGCAGGAAGGAAAGACCTGTGGAACCTCTCCTTCACGCATGGAAGGATGAAGTCTCTCACTGAAGCTGCTCTCCAGAGTAGACAGAGTGTCCTGCAGGGGATGACAGTCATGGTCCAGCGTAGATGTTAGTTTGTCCAGGACCCTCCTGTTCCCCACTTGCTGCACTGGTTTAAGATTACATCACAAAAAGTGTCTTATTTCATCTTACTTAACTTTAACGAAACAATCCGAGCAGCTGCATTGCATCAGCCACCATTAGTTTTCATTGTGTGGGGAGGGATTGAGAGATGTGCCGGTGTCTGTCTGGAACTATAAAACAGGGAACCTCCTCATTATGATGCTCCGTGTTGCCCCAGAGGTCCCCAAACACTGTGCAATACCTGCTGCATTCAAACAAGCACCATCACAGCTTGAAGCACGAGATTACTAAGCATTAAGATTCCAGGTCTAGCCACCAACGCTGCAACAATAGGTTTGACTTTGGACAGATGTTCCATAAATACTCACACAGATTTGTATTGATCTATCATTTTAGATGATTTGTGTCCAGGAATGGCTTGTTTTATTACTATAGGATTTTCAGTTTACATTTTATGATAAAATCTGCAATGTGTACCATCTGATTAACCCTCTAGGCTGTATTGTATCGATCAGGTTGTCGACATTAATTTGCATGTCTGGGCTTACAGTTGGGGCAGTAATGATTTGCACTATTATTGCACTTCTACTATTTCCCTGTGACTTCTGTTTGTGGGTTCATGTCCTAGTGATTTGTATTTCTGTCATTAAAAAAAGAAAAGATTTTTTTTTTAATGAAAATTCTAAAATCCACGATTGCCACTGCCATATGATGTCATGATATGCAAATTAGATGGGTACATTGATTCCCTACAAAAACTTTGGGTAATGCTTAATATTTCTCTAATTTACAGAAAGCCTTTATCTCTTGTCACATTTTAGTTATAGCCTGTTTCCCCTCAGTGGGGTCATTGCACACATTACAGGATAGTAGGAATAAGCACGTTCAAAATATACATAATCAACTCTAGCCTCTCAATTTCAACATTTAATCTTACATAGTTTGAGCTGAGCCAAATTATATCTGTTACTGCACTTGGGAGACAGTAGCATGTATACTTCCCTAGAGTTAAGTACACTTCAGAAGTACAGCATCAGGCTTCACAGAATGAGATAAGATACAGTTTATTGATCTCACAAAGGAGAAATTTGCACGTCACATTTGAATCTATCAAAATGTACATTAGCGCTATAAAATATGAACAGAATCAAGTGATACACAAACACAGACACCCACACACACACACACACACACACACACACACACATGTACACTCTCATTCACAAAATTGTACAAAACTAATATTTAGGATTGATTTCATTATTGATTCATTATTATTGGTGTTAATATTGCTCACTGAACATTATGTGCGCAGTCACCAGTCCACAGATCTGGCTTGTACTGTCAGCAGATGGAGATGGTTCAGTTTAGTGTCGTGCTGGAAAACATTTGTTTAGCATCTGCCAGAAAAGTTATTCAGTCAAATGTGAATAGCAGCAGTTATGGCCACGGGCTCTTGTCAAAAGGTCATAAAGTTAACTCCTCAAATAAAACTTAATAATGTGATTTTCTTTGCCAGTGTAAAACCAGAAAAATTTTGAGGCATTATTCTACTCTACAGCATGGCCTTTTGGTCCCTCTTCTGCCAATCAATACGTTTCATTTTTTATACAGGCAGAACATATACTCTATTTTTTTGTTGCTTTAATTAGTGTTGTCCCTCCCTGAAATGTTGTTTTTTGTAAATTAGGTTGTTTTTGTTGTTGTTTGTGAGATGGATTGCAGTTCTATACCCCATACATTATTTCCTTCCCTTTTATGTGGCAAAAATAATGATCCCAGTAATTGATCTTATTCAGTCACACTTTAACTTTGTAGTTGCTTAGCCATGTTTTTGTCTGCACACATTTTGTATCGTATTTACTGCACACTCGTCCTGAGGAGTTTAAAGCAGAGGTCTCTCCTGCTCCCCTCTTCAGGCGATTTAGTTAAAAGGGGTTAAACTCTGGTCATACCACAATTAATATCACTGATTCAGAGTAAAACCCTACAGATGTCAGCTGCTTCATAATGTATGTTGACAAGCGGTCTCCATCTGTAGGACTGTCAAATCAGCATGAATGAACAGTACACATTCATGTTGCTTTTTACAGCCATCTCCAAGTGAATGTAAGGCTGACTAATTGCTAGCATCGTAGTCATTGTTCTTAAGCCGCACGCCAACGCCATGCTGCTGGAGAGTCAGAGGATCTTGTGAAACCCACGGCCTGACCAGCCCTGCGCAGAAGGCAGCCAGAAGTTCATCATTGCCCTATGGCCTCAAAGCCACATTGTTTATTGTTTGTTTGGATCCCCATTAGCTGTCACCAAATTGATATCTACTTTTCCTTGGGTTTAGTTTAAAAATACTTCCAATATCCATATAAGAAAATGTTAAGACAACACTTACACACACTGCTCTTCAGAGGGTGAAACTCTTATAATCTATGTACTGTATGTAATTCAATTTGTGTGAAACAATATATGATATAGACTCACATGCAAAGCTTTTCAGTCCATCAAAATAATTTCAAATGTCTTTTTTCAACATTATAACAAATGAAGGCTTGTTATGTATTTTAACTTTTGTTCACCTATAGTGCATACATAATTGTGTGTGTTGCATTATTTGTATGAAAAGCACTTTATAAATAAAATGCGATTGATTGATTGATATACATACATATCATAGGCATACTAAACTCTAAATATGAAAATACACATATTCACATGTACCCAGACCCAAGCGTCCATCAGAAAATGTCTCTTCACATGAAGCTTATGCAGCCGCACAGACTTAGCACAGAGACTTGATGCTTCATCCAGTGTGAACGGCTCTTTTGGCAGTTATTCTGATTAATGAGGAGTGAAAACAACAGCACCATTTCCAAATTATACTTACATTAAATCTACCCAACTATTGAGTAAGGAACATGACATAATGTTATGACCTGTTTACATGAGTGGGAACTGGTGCCGGGTTCCACTTGAAGAAAACAAAACGTCTTATGTTGGATTATTACTTTACATTTGCATATAAATAATACGAATTTTCTGCTTTTTTATTTGTAAAAGCTACTTTCTCTATACAAACCTTTTTGGAATGAATCTGACAACCATCTGCATTTAAAAAAACAGGGTGACTGGGAAGCTTCCATAGGGACTGTTTTGTGTGGGAGAGCTGCAGGCATGAACTGAAGCTGAGAAGAGGTGATCGTTAAAACTCTGATCACTAATCAGCCCCTCCAGAGAAACTCTTGTGACACTGTCATGTATGAAGGAAAAACATTTCTGGGGCTCCACTTAATTAGTTTGAATTATAGCAAAATATGATTTTGAGCTCAAAATTATTGTGCACCTCACTGTCTGCGCCAAATAAAAACGAATTACTTTATTAAAGCAAGTTGGTCTTCAGATTCATGTGCCATGTGTGTCATGTGACGTTTTGGCTGCAGGATCATAAAAAATGTATTATTAGCAACAACAACCCTACTGATAGAGCTAATGTATTGTCGAATGTTGGGCTGCTTTGATTCTGATGGAAGGAAAAGTTAATGTTAGAAAGTATTAAAGTTATGAATTTTATTTGCTAATGTGCAAACTTTCTACTATAAAATGTCATATATTGTTGTAATTTATGAAATTTTTCCCCACTTCATCTAATTAAATGAATTCAAAATGCACTGAAATGTTTGTAACAAATGTTTGTATTTGTGTAGGTGGCCAACCTGCTGCGGCTCTTCCAGATCCCTCAGATCAGCTATGCTTCCACCAGCGCCAAACTCAGCGATAAGTCTCGGTACGACTACTTTGCCCGTACCGTTCCACCAGACTTCTACCAGGCCAAGGCCATGGCTGAGATCCTGCGCTATTTCAACTGGACGTACGTGTCCACGGTGGCATCGGAGGGCGACTATGGTGAGACCGGAATCGATGCATTTCACCAGGAAGCTCGGGCCAAGCAGATCTGCATCGCCACATCCGCCAAAGTGAGCCGCTCCATGAACCGCCAAGGTTATGAGAACGTGATCCGCACGCTGCAGCAAAAGTCCAACGCTAAGGTAGTCATCCTGTTCACACGCAGCGAGGACGCCCGCGAGCTGTTAGCGGCTGCTGCCCAAATGAACGTGAGCTTCTCTTGGGTTGCCAGTGACGGCTGGGGGGCCCAGGAGAGTGTGGTGCGAGGCAGTGAGGCTGCGGCAGACGGAGCTTTCACCTTAGAGCTGGCCTCTTATCAGATCCGAGAGTTCACAGACTACTTTACCAAACTAAACCCTTACACCAACGCCAGAAACCCCTGGTTCCGAGAGTTCTGGGAGAACCACTTCAGCTGCAGCCTGCAGCAGCCGGGATGCAGCGAGCACAGCCTCAGAGATGGGACGTTTGAGCAGGAGTCCAAAATCATGTTTGTGGTGAATGCAGTATACGCCATGGCCTACGCTCTGCACAACATGCGACAGGCCGTGTGCTCCAACACCTCCAAAGTCTGTGAGGCCATGAAGCCAGGCAACGGCAGGAGGTTCTACAAGGAGTTCATCCTCAAGACCAAGTTTGAGGGTCAGTGAAGTACCAACTCATACATACATAGATTAACAAATAATATCAGAAAGAAAACTAACTACTTTTGAATTATTGGAATGTGTGTTTTTCAGTGCTTATAATTAATCATGTTTTCTGTTTTCAGCTCCTTTCAGACCTCCAGACACTGACAGCATGGTTCGCTTCGACTCTATGGGCGACAGCATCAGCCGCTACAACATCTTTCACTACCACAAGGAGGAGGGCAAATTCACATATAGGAAAGTGGGCTACTGGGACCAGATCCTTACCCTGAACACTGCACTTGTGCCTTGGCGTGGATTTGGACCCCCTACATCCCAGTGCAGTGACCCATGCAGGAAGAACGAAATCAAGAGCATGCAACCAGGAGATGTCTGCTGCTGGATCTGCATACCCTGTCAGCCATACCAATATCTTCAAGACGAGTACACCTGCGCCGACTGCAGCTTTGGACAATGGCCTTTGGGAAATCTAACTGGCTGCTATGACCTGCCAGAGGAGTACATCCACTGGGAGGATGCGTGGGCTATCGGGCCAGTGACCATCTCCTGTCTGGGTATTCTCTGCACTCTTTCAGTCATAGGGGTCTTCTTTAAAAACAACGACACCCCAGTAGTCAAAGCTAGCGGGCGCGAATTGTCCTATATCCTACTTCTTGGCGTTTTGATGTGCTACAGCATGACTTTTATCTACATTGCCAAACCCTCCACCACGGTCTGCACCTTGCGTCGTCTGGGTTTGGGCACCTCTTTTGCCGTGTGCTACTCTGCTCTACTCACCAAAACCAACCGAATCGCCCGCATCTTCAGTGGGGTGAAAGACGGAGCTCAGAGGCCTAGATTCATAAGTCCAGGATCCCAAGTGGCGATTTGCGGGGTGCTAATTTCTTGCCAGTTGCTAGTTGCAGTTCTCTGGCTCTTGGTGGAGGTGCCCGGGGTGAGAAAGGAGGTAGGCCCAGAACGAAGGAACGTGGTCACGCTGAAGTGCAACAGCAGGGACTCGAGCATGCTAATGTCACTCACCTACAACTGCGTCCTGATTATCCTCTGCACCGTCTACGCATTCAAGACCAGGAAGTGTCCAGAGAACTTCAACGAGGCCAAGTTCATCGGCTTCACCATGTACACCACCTGTATTATCTGGCTCGCCTTCCAGCCCATCTTCTTTGTGACCGCCAGTGACTACAGGGTAAGTCCAGTCAACAACCACCTATTTACACTAGTGCTATTGCTACACTAGTATTTACCCATGTGAGGCCTGAACCACACATGGCTTAGGGTTAGAGCCACAAGTTTGAATTGTTTGATTTTCAACGTTTTGTTATTTATTTAAATGTTTTTATTTAACCAATTTTTATCACTTTTGTAAAGTTGTCCAAGAGAACTATTGTTGTGATTTAGTGCTAGAAAAAAAAAATGTATCCCTTAAAATGAACAAAATGAACCCTTTAGGCTCTCTTTTTGTGTCAAAAATGTTATGTGAAACAGACAAAAGGTGAAGCCCTGATACATTATAAGTGACAGAGGACTACTCAAATCAATTGCAGAAATAAACAAAGATATACTGTATGTAAGAAAAATATGGAAACGATTGTGAAGGTAGGTGACTGTAGAGAAAGTGTCCAGGATTCAGGATATCATGGAGTAATTCTGTTACTTTGATACCTATTGTGTGCCTGTAGTGTAAATCAATGTATTATATAAAACAAATTTTTAAAACATCTTTAAAATTCTGTTTGATCAACATTCCGGGATTTAAAACAGCAAACAATTGCAACAGAGAGAATAACTAATGACACAACGCTGGTTTAATATTCATAGATTTCTGTCATAGTTTGACGCCATTTGCAGAATTTAATTATATATTTTTCTATTGTCTTGTGTTACTCCAAAGCCTTCGCTATACTCAACAATAGAACCAACATTACATAAGTGTGTGTAAGTGAGTGCAAGTGTGTGTGATATATTTGTATTTTTCAACATACTTATTCATGATAATTAACACTCGGACTCGCAGAAATCTGAAACAACTAGAAATCCACAGAGCAGTCATTTTGACGGCTTACATTGAAATGAATAATTCTGAGGGGGGAAAACTACTTTTTTTATCTTTAATCCCTGCTAAAACAGGTTAATATAACGGAAACACAACAATTACTGTACAGCAATTTAAAAGTACACCTGGATTAACCACCTCATGAATATGCACGCCTCCTGGCTGTGTGGATAAAAGAAACCATCATTTACATTTCATTTTCTTGTGAAAACATATAGCTAGAGGAATTCATCCTTAATCCATACAGTGCTGTGTCAGACAAATAAGAGCAAACAAATGCCACACCGCTGACAAGCATGTAAATGATGAGAGCGGAGCCTTGGGCGGCGAGCGACTGTGGCGCTGGTGTAATGAGGACGTTTGAACTACTGCTACAACACGCAACACAACATCTTATACAAACTATGTCCATAGACTGAGGAATTCACCTCACAACAAGACAAATGACCCTTTAAGGAAACATGTGGACGGTAAAGCTTGTCAATGAAATAGACGAAAACACATATTTATAATTTTTGCTTACTCAAAGAATGGGAGTAGGATTTTCCACTAAACTATAAGGATTTATTGCCATCAAATGTACACAGGTAAATAATGGTAATTTTAAGGCACAATAACATATATTATCAAAGCTCTAAATATATATGTACATAAAACAGGGACTTTCGCCTGATGGTGGTATTTACAAGTCAACTGAACGCTTGTTTTGTTACTGTCTGATTACATACGCCAAAATAGATTCAGACACGTTTTATGCAAATCATCCCCAAAATGTTGTAGACAAGCGGACCTCTCTAAATAGTGCTATTATATGCATGGATGGTCCAATTTCACGTAAGTAAGTGAGGTTATTTATATATTTTCTCCAACCCGCGTGCCAAGACAAGGGCGTCTCTCCCAAAGTTGGCGACGATAAGTTTGTGTAAGCCCTCAGTCGTACAGGGATTAGTCAAAGCAAAGGAAGGTTTCTCACCCATCATCTGTACTTCTTAGCAAGTTTTCCCTTCTTAGCAAGTTTTCTCCCAGCTTGGGAAAACTTGCTAAGAAGTACAGATGATAGGTGAGAAACCTTCCTTTGTTATTTATATAGTTCATTTTACAGACCAATATCACCCAAAGCGCTTTACAATTATTCAGAATTAAGATATTGTTCCAATCACGCTACACAGTCATGACGGAAGCGAGTTGCCGAGCACACTGGAGCATCAAAGCCTCCAACCAACACCATCCATTCACTCACTCACCATCCAGGCCTATGGTGCATGTTTTTAGTGGTAGGGGAAACCGGAGCATCCAGAGGAAACCTATAGACACGGGGAGAACATGCAAACTCTACTCAGAAAGGCCCTGATCCGACTGGGGTTCGAAACCAGGACCTTCTTGCGGAGAATCAATAGTGCTCTCCACTCAGTCACCGTGCCGCGGTGCAAGGCTAGTATTAGATCTTTGCTCCAAATCCAGATGATTTCATTATTTTCCCCAAGATATTTAGGTTTACATTTACTCTTTACTTTCTAATGCTGGCCTAGAATGTCTCCTTATGTTTAAAGTTTCAATAACACAGTGCAGCTGTGTATTTACTTGTAGAAGTAATAATCGTACATAACATCTTGAACCACCATTGGTTATGTGTAAAGCATTGATATCAGGCCAGAACAAGCTGATACATCTCTAGTGGGTTAAAGACTGAATTGCAGGTCATAAAAGTAAAAGTCTATAGTAAAGTTGGAACAATGAAAGCTTAGAGCAATTCATAACTCCCAAATGAAATGTATTTTTGGCAGTCTTCCTCTCGGTTCCAACAGCACAAATGGGAGTGGCCAAGCTAAACACATACCACCCACAAGTTCATCCACTGTTGTTTTTTCCACTTGTTTGTTTTGAAAGTCTGTAAAGTTCAAACAACCAGTATCTTCTCATGTAACTGTTGTGTTGTTCCAAAGCTACATTTCACTTCACGCCGTGTCTCTGCAAATAGAAGTTCCTGGACTGCGGGGGTGACCGGTGGGCTGGGGAGTGGAAGATGACCCCACCAGTCAGCTCGCATTAGCCACTGAATTATGACTAACTAAAAAGACCGACCAGCTGCGATCTACCACATGACGGCTTTTGCTCATTTGGCATGCACACGTAAAAGCACATTAGAATTACTAACAGACTTAATAGGAAATGGAGATGAGATGTGGGGAATTAAGCACGAGGAAGGAGCAGGAGAGAAGCACTGGCACGGCTGCAGGATATATATGCTGTAGCTTAGCATGTGTGCAGTAACAGTATGTGACAGGCTAACCCTACCTTCACATTCTTTCTCATGCAAAACAAGCCACGAATGCCAATACATGATGTGGACCATAGTAAAAATAAAAGTTTAGCGGTCAATCTTCGTTCCTTCCCTCACCTATGATCATGAGCTTTGGGCAATGACCGAAAGAACGAGATTGCAGATACGAGCGGTAGAAATGAGGAGCTCAATCACACATGAGGAGCTTGGAGTAGATGCTTATCCACATTGAAAGGATTCAGATGAGATGGCTCGGGCATCTGTTTTGGATGCCTCCATTTTCCATCTGGGTCTTCCCATCGTGTCCCGGGGAAGACCCAGGACACGTTGGAGGGACATGTCTCTCAGCTGGCCTGGGATCACCTTGCCCAGGATGAGCTGGAGGAGGAAGTGTGTGTGAGTAGGGCTGGCTGGGCGTCTCTGCTCAGACAGCTGCCTTCACAACCTGGCAATGGATAAAGTGGAAGAAAATTGATGGATGGATGGATATAATGTAATGTGCAGTTGTGGTTGAAAATGTTTGCCATATTTTCGAGATTAATGATTACACAACTGTTTTCATTCATTCCTTAGTGGTTGTGTGAAGCCCAAAACATGTTTTTTTTAAATGTTCATATGATCATTGAGACAATCTGGGGAGATCTCCAAATGGAAGTTCATGCAAGTGGTCCAGGAATTTGCAGAAATTGGAAGCTTTTACCAAGAGGAAAAGGCAAACTAACCTCACCCAAATCTACCACAAAATACTCTCATGGATGTGAAGGGGAAAGACAATATTGAGGACCAGGGTATGGAAACTTCTGACCAGGGTTAGAGAATTAGTCTCTGTTGCATGTTTATTTGACAATACATGGCTTCACACAACCACTAACAATCATTCATAATCTCTGGAATCTGGGCAAAGCTGGAGGATTTTACTTGTTGTGCGTGTTTTTAGTGGTAAGGGAGAACCCAAAGGAAACCTAAGCAGACATGGGGAGAACATGCAAACTCCTCTCAGAAAGAGTCTTTTCTGAATGTATGTGACTGTGTGTATCATGATCATGATCATAGTCCAATTTCTACTATATTATTTTACAGTGAGTGCAGACTTATGCAAGTGATTGTGACCACAGTATAATTTCTGTTCACATCAAAATCCAACCTGTGTCAAATTGTAGGTGACATTATTTAAATTGTGTTGTAGGTCTGCACTATGGCCAAGTGACAATTTGTTACCAGTGCTTTTAATGTGGCAACTGTACTTAGCACACTTTACAGCTGCAAACGCTCCACTGTGGAACCTGGTGTTCAGAGAGATCTCCCATCACAGTACTAACCAGGTCTTGCCCTGCTTTGCTTTAGAGGTCCGACAAAATCTGACTTACACAGATGACACCACAAAGAAAAAAAAGAAAAATAAAAAATAGAATAAAAAATTTTTTTTGGGCCATTCCGAGTTGAGGTTGAACTGGAACTCAATTGAATATGTCTCTATAGGACAAACATTTCTTTATACTTGCTTCATAATATGGAACATTATCACCATGGCTTTCAGACAGGATAATACTCTATCTATTCTGTGAGAAGTATTCCACTTATCTGGGAGGCTATAGATGCTCAGAGTGGATGGGACTCACACCAAGAAACTGACTGGTTTAGTGGATGGAGTTTTTTAAGCGTTGTTGAGAAGAGAGACGGTTAATGTGAGAGGTAGTTTTGAAATGTGTGTACTAATATTTAGTTTTGGAACTTGACTTTGTGAGGAATTAAGCAGCAGCGTTCATTTGGATGGATCAAAAGACCTGCAGTTGACAAAATATTTAATCCTCCAAAGGGAACTTGTATATTAGGTGTGCACTGTATGCATTTATGCACAGCACTGACAGCACGTATAGAACTCCCAACTGAGATGAAAAGCCAAAACGTTTAACTTTCAAGGCAGTAAAAAAAAGAAACACAGGCCATTTGGGAGCAATAGCAGCCCGTCTGTAGCTCGGATCATAAAAGAACATTCTGGTAATAAGAATGCCCGAATCCTTTTTTTTCACAAACAAAGAAAAGTAAATATTTTTGTTAATTGAACTGGTAAATTAGGCTTTGGATTTAGTTTTGCTTAATTTTATCTTTATCGTTCACACTGGCCCTGGTCGGAATAAAGTATCAGCCAAGTCCTCCGATTGCTAAATATTATGCATGTAGTTAGCAAGAGGATTTTACTGAAGGATTTTATTGCCAATCGAATGATTGACTGGATTATTTGTTAAGAAGGTGAATTTTTTTTTTTTTTTAATGCTGCATCTAAAATATTCTCAATCATGGTAAATGTACTTTACTTTCAGTGTTTGTGTATTTTCTGTTCTTAACTGCTCGTGTGGCCCCACCTGTATGTTAAAGGTAGATTGCGTCAGGCTAAGGCTAAGCAGAGCAGGGCCTGTTAGCTGTGAAGTGCCAAACTGTCATTCTGTCCTTAGGCAAGACACTTTACCCACATTGTCTAGTATGAGTCTGGTGTGTGCCTAAATGTTTGGTGATGATTAGAGGGGCCAATGGCACATACTCCCTCGCTTCTGTCAGTGTGCCCCAGGGCGGCTGTGGCTACAGTAGTAGTTTAGGGTCATTGTTAGCACTATATAAAACCGATGCATTCAATAATTAAAAGATTATCTCTTACATACAAGGTATAACTGTATCTAGAATGGTCAAGGATTAACCGTCAACAGCTGGTGATTCTGTTAACAAACTGATTAGTTGTGATAATGCATTTACCATAAATATCACAGCCCTTTCCTTCATGACAAAACGCTGCCCCTCTTTATTCTAAACTGCAGTGGATTCAAATAAAACTGAAACGACTGCCATTATTTAAATCCCTTGCCTAAAATAATCACAAATAATCTAAAATAATTTAACAATAAATGTAAGTGCATTTTGCTTGGACAATGCATGTTCATGACCACACCTCTCGGCTAAACTCCAGAGGGATGTGAATGAAGAAAACTCAATTTGAATGCTCAAGTGTTCACTATTATTACTCTTTCTCCAGGTGCAGACCACGACCATGTGCATCTCGGTGAGCCTGAGCGGCTCGGTGGTGCTGGGCTGCCTCTTTGCTCCTAAACTCCACATTATCCTCTTCCAGCCGCAGAAAAACGTGGTCACCCATCGAGTGACGACCAACCGCTTCAGTGGCACCGCCTCTGCCCCCAGCTCTGGCTACTCCAAAGGTCAGCGTCCACCTTCACACACGTGTTGTGCGAGCACACAAGTGGTCCACCTCAAATCACGCAATATCAAAAACATCTCCCCGCTCTCAACTCTCCTCACTGCTGCAGAGACGAGACTGAAGGACGTTATAGGATTACATTTCCCCTCCTGACCTATTGAAGCTGGTGTTTTCTCAGGGCCCAGGCTCTACATGTTGTCGTGAGAGGGGAATATGTGAATAGAGCTGGGCTTTCTGTGGAAGCTCAACTGTGCTTGAACACCTCTCTGTCAGATACGTTGATGATGCGAGGTCTGATTGATTTTTGGCAGCAGCGATGTGTTTTAGAACTATTAACACATAAACAGTAAAATGCTTAAAATGCTCATCTGTGACTTTGTTCATGCACAGAAACTAGCAAGCCACAAAATATGTCATGGACAGTGACATAAAAAAATCTTCCATCCAGCGAACAGCCTGATTCTAATAAGAAAGAGACCTGTGAGTCACTATTGGATGCTTTGGGCTGAGAGCTGATTGGCTGAGTGACATTGGAGACAGTAAACATTTGTCATTCAGCCAACTTCAGCTCTGTTATAGATCATTGTAAAGCTCAGAACAGCCCGATGCCAGTCAAGACAGTTTTTCAGTCGGACGTGACGTCGGCCCCTGGACTTGTCTGGTGAACTAAAGCGGCCCACTTACTAAATTATTTGACACCCCTGATGTAGATGCATGATAAATAATGTTGTGGTTTGAAATTTAGATACCCCACATTTAATTAGTTCCAGTAATTGTATTCTGAATATGAATTCCCGGTACATGTTTACCTTGAACAGCGTGCACAGGGCTTGGCATGTGTCCTCCGAGGCATGTGACTTTTTTGATATGTAAGTATTAAGTAAGCAAGTAGTCTTTATGGATATAGTGCCTTTCAGAGTCCAGAATCACAAAGCACTTTACACTGTTGTTTTGCAAACTTCCAAAATATACTGATTTTAATACCTATGTATGGTCTTGTTCCGTCTCCCAGGTTCTGCCTCCAACTACGTCCCTGCAGTGTGTAATGGTCGAGAGGTGGTGGACTCTACGACTTCCTCATTGTAGAAGAAAATCCACCCACTTCCAACTGTCCGAACGCACAATGGATCGACAGAAATACTGCCCTGAGCTGTAACGATATTCCACTGCAAGCTGTCTGTATCAGTATAGAGCCTTTTTGTATAGATTTAATATGCTGTGATTTTGGTTTACAAATAGATGTAAAATGCACTGTGCCTTGTTAAGAGAAGTTGTGTTATATTTTCAATAGATGGTTGTGTGAAGCAATAGTGTTATTTAATAAACTTCTTAATCTTGTAATAGTGTTGTAACTATATGTTTTGTCATAAGTGATAATGCTATGAATAATTATGGTTATAGTCTCTAACTGTACTTGTGAAAAGGTATTAAACTAGTTATATATATATATATATATATATGGCTCACTCCGTGCTAAACTGTATAATGGGTCCATTTAATTCAAGCAACAGTAAAATAAATGTATGAACCAAAAATGTTTGTACCTAAACTTTTAATACTATGTAGCTTATAAACATAGTACGTATAATCTCAAATGGGCAGCTAAAAGCATTTCAAGAAAAATGGTTGTCTTTCAAAGAAAGAAAAAAAAAGGTATTGAACTTTGGGCACATGTTTCATTTAGGCTTTGTGAACGGTGTCATTGACAGGACAAGGAAGACTTTTTAATGGTTGGGGATATAGATATAATCCATCTAATTACAGATTTAAATTTTACAAAAAAAAAATTCAATAACGACAGACAAACTGGGCGCTGTAGACTTAACATGTCCATTTTTGTTACGTCCATAACAGCTGTCTTTGAGCGTGTTAATAGTTCGGGCGTGAAAAAATTAGTGTTTAAATAGTGTCTCCTTCATTGGACAAACAAGCTGTGAACATTCAGCAGTAGCGACCGCAGACATTTCGGGGCTTTCTTTTCATTGACCCAAATGTAACACATTGGTACAGATTTTTGCGGAGTGAGCCATGTATCTATGTATAATTTATATATATATATATATAATATATATAAAAATACACGTACTTTAGGGTGTGCTTTGTCCATTTTTCTTTGTAACTTATGTAAATAACATGTTTTGATATTAAAATATTTAAGAAACCAGTGATGGTGAGTATTCATTGCAGCCGTTCAAAAGTCCAATTGTGTCCTTAGGCAAGACACTTCCCCCACATTGCCCAGTTAAAACGGTTGGTGATCGTTGATGTGGAGAGAAAAAGGAGAAACTTTCATCAAATGTAAAGCTTCTTTGTGACCGTCTGTGAAAAGCACCAAATAAATCTACATTACATTCACTCGCATTCAGTGAATTTACTGAATACTGATAAAGCTACAGACCACCTGGATAATCTCTAAGACAATGGAAACGCTGAACTTCTCTTTTGTCCATGTTCTATATGAGTAAATGTGTATGAATCACATGGCAAAATGTATTAAACCTGTGGAGGAGAAATCACCACAAGACAGTCAATAACTTCCATAGTTTATATTCAATGATGAATAAAATAAAAATAAATCTACAAAAAGAAAAATGTTCACGCCTCAGCCTCATTGGCATCTTCAGCAGCCGGCTGTTTTCTCTTCAGCGGGATAATATATATACCATTCTTTGCTTCTTTTAGTCTCCACCATCTGCCCAGTCTGCAAAACACAGTACATTTGATTTCAACCAGTCCACACCTTCAAAACTCAGCCAACAACATCTGCAACTGAGAATTAACATTGTTTTGTATGTTTGCTTAAACAAAACATTTACACATTTTAAAATCGGGTGATTCGTTTGACATACTGTGGAACATTTATGCTAAATCGTCTCCATAGCAACCAGAACAGGGTAGAACCAGAAATGCAAGACCACTCAGCGGATTTGTTGATTTATCAAATTGGCTTCAATTGAAAAACTAAAGAATGATTGGATGATAAATCCTTCCAAAAAACTTCCAATAGTCTGTCCCTTATGCCCTAATAGATCCATGCTTATGCCCCACACTGGCAGAAACTACAGATGCACAGAAATACACTGCCCTCTAGTGGATGGACACTGGTTTAATCTGTGCCCAGTTGCCATGGAAATGTGAGGGTAATGGTACCTGTGTTCCTGTCCCACTCCTGCGACCAGGAAGTGACCTGAGCTAGAAAACTTCAGACTGTTCACAAAACCAGGCTGTGAAAGAGACACAAGTTTAGCTACACACAGAAATCTCCCTTTTGAAATACATTAAGAACCCATTTGTGTATTGCTGGGTAATCAAACGAAAATTACATTAAGATGTGAGGCCATAAAGCCATAAACAATCAGATCAGATGTAATCACTGGTGGTGACAACAGAATAACTAGATGGTGGAGGAATAATTATTTGCCAAGAACAGTTGTCAAAATAAATACTCCACAATGTTACATGTTCATGAGATCCATATATTCAGGCACATCGTACATGAGGCCAATTTAAAAAGGACTGAGAAAACAGGATTGAAAATGTGCGACTGCCCCAGAGCTTGTGCCCTGTCGTGTAACTCCATGATTCCACAGCACTCGTTTGCTTGTTCTCCATTCTGCAGGTGGATTGTTTATTGACCCAAGAGGCGCTCACTGCTCTATGGAAGTGATTACATTCATTAAAAAATGTGTACTTAAATACAGATACTGTTTTCACAATAACCTTTATGTTGTATACTTTTCATTTTATATTCTATTATACATTGCAGTCATTTCTTGTTCAGTATATGTGCTTTAGGTAAGCAGTGCAAATGACCCCTTTACCTCCAAAAGTCAATACACAAGTTATTGTTTTCTAACCACTGTTGTATTTAGATGTAAGGAGAGTGGTATAAGGTGCACATTAAGAGTGCATTACCACGGTGACAGAGAACAGCAGCTCCAGGCCTCTGTAGTATTGGGAACACTTCCAGAGCTGCACCTCAGAGTTGTGTGAGCCTAAAGACAGAAGACAGTGTTATTTCAGTGTGATCAGAGTTTACTACAGCGCTGGTGGGGACGCTCACAGCTGCAGGCACCTGAGGCGACGGTGTCCGAGTTCTGCAGCGCAGCCACAGATGTGACCCACAGGGGGCGCTCCAGACCCGGGTCACCATGACTACCATGGGCCTGTTTCACCGTGGCCACAGGCTTCTTCTTGTTCACACTCCAAAGACACACAGAGCTGCAGTGACCAAGAGGAGAATTTGTATTATTACTCATCCAATAACAAGTATAACTTTAATGGTGGTAACAAAAAATATGACTTTGTTTTAAAACTTACCCATCGTCAGCTCCGGTAATCATGTGCTCCTCATTTATGAGTTGGACACAGTCAATCGAACCACTAAGAAATTAAACACATATTTAAAAGGAGCAGTATGAAAACATCTGGCCAAAACTGGTAATGCAATCACAGTCAATATTCTGTAGTCCTCTCCCACTCTCTCCGACTCAGGTTGCCAGATATGCACCGAATCCAGCAGCAAACACAAGGACTTATTTCATTAAGTTATGTTTCTCCATAAGGTTCACATTGCTATGATAGCCGTGCTAATGTTGGGGATGTATTTCTTCAGCGTATCAGTGCTGATTTTTTTTTTTTAGACCTATAGGTGTAAAAGTCCCACATCAAAAAGAGACTCACACTAATTATAATTAGGATAAATCTGGTCTCACCAATTTTTTTTTTTTTTTACAATTACATTTTCTTAATTATAAAAAGATTATAGATTATTTATGTTTAATGGTGAAATTGTCATTATTATAAAGTAATTGGCAGAGTGCACTTCCCTGATCTGAAAAGGGTCTGCTAGTCAGTGTTCTCAGGGGATTTGACCCAACTCTGAAGAGCCACAGAATATTCAGTTATTTGACAATATATTAACACCAAAGGGCCAAATGAAAGATTAGGCCCTTAGCTTTAATCTACAAAAAACATTTTGTTGTGACCTTTTACCGTTCAATCTATCATAGAATATAGTATACTGTATCTAGTTTCACCCAAAACACTTCGACACATCCAAATTCAGACCCGGGCCACTGCAGGGAAAGAAAGCGCTTTGACATAAACACTAGACCACCTTTCTACACAACGTATGATCAGACCCAAATGCAGTGACGTGCAGTCAGGGGAGGCAGGGGAGGCAGAACCTCACCTGCCATCATCATTGGAAACAAATAATTATTTAAGTTGTAATATATAATTGGTTTCCACTATCCTGTGCTTTTAATATATATTTGGCACTGTTCCGACCAGTTTTGATCATTTCTGCAGTCAAAATCGCTGAAATCCTATTTTTCCTATTCAAAGACAGAAGGTGAGGCAGCGCTCCTGCGTGCCTCCCCCCAGATCGCTCGCTCACAGTGTGTGTGTATGTGCGAGTGCACTCAGCTCGTGCTGTTGATATATCGCTGTTTGTTTCAAATATCCTGCTTTGATAACATTTGTTAAACTTCTCATAGTGTTTAGTAATGTATTGCACGTATGTGTGTACTATTTTCATATAGTTTAAGTCTTTTGATTGGAGAAGAATACACAAGGAAAAAGCCTTCCTTGAGGCAGGCGGTGTCTGTGCCTCACCACTAGGGGCGATAGTGAGCATAAAGTTCATATCCAAGTTGCTAACAAACAATCAGCCCAAAATGCTATTTCTTTTACTGGAAAATGGATGATTGGATTGTAGATTTTTTTCTCAACTGGACTTTTAATCAAAGCAAGAAATATTATAGACTGAGAGACCACCACTGGACTTACAAGGTTAGTCCGGGGTGACAAATTTGTTAATCTTTGTGTTTAATGTTGAACATTGACCAGATAGCTGCATTATACTGCTTCTCCGAAAAACCCTGATTCAAACACTGCTCAAGTTCTGCAACTCTTTCTCCTCCCGTCTCTTTCTGTGCTCACGGCTCTCTCTCTCTGCTTTCGTCTATGTCTGTCTCTCTCTGCTCGCGTCTGTCTCTCTCTCTCTCTCTGCTCGCGTCTCTGTCTCTCTCTGCTCGCGTCTCTCTCTCTCTCTCTCTGCTCGCGTCTCTCTCTCTCTCTCTGCTCGCGTCTCTCTCTCTCTCTCTGCTCGCGTCTCTCTCTCTCTCTCTGCTCGCGTCTCTCTCTCTCTCTGCTCGCGTCTCTGTCTCTCTCTCTGCTCGCGTCTCTGTCTCTCTCTCTGCTCGCGTCTCTGTCTCTCTCTCTGCTCGCGTCTCTGTCTCTCTCTCTCTCTGCTCGCGTCTCTGTCTCTCTCTCTCTCTGCTCGCGTCTCTGTCTCTCTCTCTCTCTCTCTCTGCTCGCGTCTCTCCCCTCTGCTCGCGTCTCTCTCTCTCTGCTCGCGTCTCTCTCTGCTCGCGTCTCTCTCTCTCTGCTCGCGTCTCTCTCTCTCTGTTCGCGTCTCTCTCTCTCTGTTCGCGTCTCTCTCTCTCTGTTCGCGTCTCTCTCTCTCTGCTCGCGTCTGTCTCTCTCTCTCTGCTCGCGTCTCTGTCTCTCTCTGCTCGCGTCTCTGTGTCTCTCTCTGCTCGCGTCTCTGTCTCTCTCTGCTCGCGTCTCTGTCTCTCTCTCTCTGCTCGCGTCTCTGTCTCTCTGCTCGCGTCTCTGTCTCTCTCTGCTCGCGTCTGTCTCTCTCTCTCTCTGCTCGCGTCTCTCTCTCTCTCTCTCTGCTCGCGTCTCTCTCTCTGCTCGCGTCTCTCTCTCTCTGCTCGCGTCTCTCTCTCTCTGCTCGCGTCTCTCTCTCTCTGCTCGCGTCTCTCTCTCTCTGCTCGCGTCTCTGTCTCTCTGCTCGCGTCTGTCTCTCTCTCTGCTCGCGTCTGTCTCTCTCTCTCTGCTCGCGTCTGTCTCTCTCTCTGCTCGCGTCTCTGTCTCTCTCTCTGCTCGCGTCTCTGTCTCTCTCTCTCTCTGCTCGCGTCTCTGTCTCTCTCTCTCTCTGCTCGCGTCTCTGTCTCTCTCTCTGCTCGCGTCTGTCTCTCTCTCTCTCTCTGCTCGCGTCTCTCTCTCTGCTCGCGTCTCTCTCTCTGCTCGCGTCTCTCTCTCTGCTCGCGTCTCTCTCTCTGCTCGCGTCTCTCTCTCTGCTCGCGTCTCTCTCTCTGCTCGCGTCTCTCTCTCTGCTCGCGTCTCTCTCTCTGCTCGCGTCTCTCTCTCTGCTCGCGTCTCTCTCTCTCTGCTCGCGTCTCTCTCTCTCTGCTCGCGTCTCTCTCTGCTCGCGTCTCTCTCTGCTCGCGTCTCTCTCTCTCTGCTCGCGTCTCTCTCTCTGCTCGCGTCTCTCTCTCTGCTCGCGTCTCTCTCTCTCTGCTCGCGTCTCTCTCTCTCTGCTCGCGTCTCTCTCTCTGTTTCGCGTCTCTCTCTGCTCGTCTCTCTCTCTCTGCTCGCGTCTGTCTCTCTCTCTCTGCTCGCGTCTCTGTCTCTCTCTCTCTGCTCGCGTCTCTGTCTCTCTCTCTCTGCTCGCGTCTCTGTCTCTCTCTCTCTGCTCGCGTCTCTGTCTCTCTCTCTCTGCTCGCGTCTCTGTCTCTCTCTCTCTCTCTCTCTGCTCGCGTCTCTGTCTCTCTCTCTCTCTCTGCTCGCGTCTCTCTCTCTCTGCTCGCGTCTCTGTCTCTCTGCTCGCGTCTGTCTCTCTCTGCTCGCGTCTCTGTCTCTCTCTCTGCTCGCGTCTCTGTCTCTCTCTCTGCTCGCGTCTCTCTCTCTCTCTCTGCTCGCGTCTCTCTCTCTCTGCTCGCGTCTCTGTCTCTCTCTGCTCGCGTCTGTCTCTCTCTCTCTCTCTGCTCGCGTCTCTCTCTCTCTCTCTGCTCGCGTCTCTCTCTCTCTCTCTGCTCGCGTCTCTCTCTCTCTCTCTGCTCGCGTCTCTCTCTCTCTCTGCTCGCGTCTCTCTCTCTCTCTCTGCTCGCGTCTCTCTCTCTCTGCTCGCGTCTCTCTCTCTCTGCTCTCACGTCTCTCTCTCTCTCTCTGCTCGCGTCTCTGTCTCTCTGCTCGCGTCTGTCTCTCTCTGCTCGCGTCTCTGTCTCTGCTCGCGTCTCTGTCTCTGCTCGCGTCTCTGTCTCTCTCTCTGCTCGCGTCTGTCTCTCTCTCTCTCTGCTCGCGTCTCTGTCTCTCTCTCTCTGCTCGCGTCTCTGTCTCTCTCTCTGCTCGCGTCTCTGTCTCTCTCTCTCTCTGCTCGCGTCTGTCTCTCTCTCTGCTCTCGTCTCTCTCTCTGCTCGCGTCTCTCTCTCTGCTCGCGTCTCTCTCTCTGCTCGCGTCTCTCTCTCTGCTCGCGTCTCTCTCTCTGCTCGCGTCTCTCTCTCTGCTCGCGTCTCTCTCTCTGCTCGCGTCTCTCTCTCTGCTCGCGTCTCTCTCTCTGCTCGCGTCTCTCTCTCTGCTCGCGTCTCTCTCTCTGCTCGCGTCTCTCTCTCTGCTCGCGTCTCTCTCTCTGCTCGCGTCTCTCTCTCTGCTCGCGTCTCTCTCTCTGCTCGCGTCTCTCTCTCTGCTCGCGTCTCTCTCTCTGCTCGCGTCTCTCTCTCTGCTCGCGTCTCTCTCTCTCTGCTCGCGTCTCTCTCTCTCTGCTCGCGTCTCTGTCTCTCTGCTCGCGTCTGTCTCTCTCTGCTCGCGTCTCTGTCTCTGCTCGCGTCTCTGTCTCTGCTCGCGTCTCTGTCTCTCTCTCTGCTCGCGTCTCTGTCTCTCTCTCTCTCTCTGCTCGCGTCTCTGTCTCTCTCTCTCTCTGCTCGCGTCTCTGTCTCTCTCTCTCTCTCTCTCTGCTCGCGTCTGTCTCTCTCTCTCTCTGCTCGCGTCTCTCTCTCTGCTCGCGTCTCTCTCTCTGCTCGCGTCTCTCTCTCTGCTCGCGTCTCTCTCTCTGCTCGCGTCTCTCTCTCTCTGCTCGCGTCTCTCTCTCTGCTCGCGTCTCTCTCTCTGCTCGCGTCTCTCTCTCTGCTCGCGTCTCTCTCTGCTCGCGTCTCTCTCTCTGCTCGCGTCTCTCTCTCTGCTCGCGTCTCTCTCTCTCTCTGCTCGCGTCTCTCTCTCTGCTCGCGTCTCTCTCTCTGCTCGCGTCTCTCTCTCTCTGCTCGTCTCTCTCTGTTCGCGTCTCTCTCTCTGCTCGTCTCTCTCTGCTCGCGTCTGTCTCTCTCTCTCTGCTCGCGTCTGTCTCTCTCTCTCTGCTCGCGTCTGTCTCTCTCTCTCTGCTCGCGTCTGTCTCTCTCTCTCTGCTCGCGTCTCTGTCTCTCTCTCTCTGCTCGCGTCTCTCTCTGCTCGCGTCTCTGTCTCTCTCTCTCTCTGCTCGCGTCTCTGTCTCTCTCCCTCTCTCTGCTCGCGTCTCTGTCTCTCTCTCTGCTCGCGTCTCTGTCTCTCTCTCTGCTCGCGTCTCTGTCTCTCTCTCTGCTCGCGTCTCTGTCTCTCTC